GAAGAAAAAGGAACGGATGAAGAGAGGAAGGAAAAGAAAAACGAAATGCATAAAAACAGAAAGAGGAGAAAGAACTCTACTAGAGAGAACTTTACTAAAAACTCTCTGCCTTCACGTAGAATTGGCTTCTTTTAAAATACGGAAAGTATAAAGAGCGGTAGAGATTCATAATCCACCATCTGGTTCATAAATTTCGTTTAACTTCCACATTTGAATTGCAAGTTTGCATTTACTTGATGCCACGTACATTTATATCAGTTTGTGGTTCAGGTAAATTAACTAAGAATGTTCACTTCTAGCATTTCGATAATATCTGAGCCTTTATTTTAACTTCATGGTAAATAGAACGATCTTTCAACTCAAAACAACGCTAGGAACAATGGTAGAATGTACGAAGTTGGGTTCGGAACCTACATACAACTATTTTAACTCTGCGGAGGACCGGGTTGCATACTCTAGATTTCGTGGGCGAAATCTGAGATTTGCCCACGGCCTGCGCGAGCTTGTGATGAACGGCTCTCGTGGTTGAGTAATACTGCCTTGATAGCGAAGAGAGCAGTAAGTGTGTGCTGGGATGAACCTCGAGACACATGAAAGCATGTGCTAACCATGGCTCATACAGAAATTTACTTACTGCTCTCTTCGCTGTCACGGCAGAATACAGATGCGATCGGTGTTTTCTCCAAGCGTGTGCAACTCGGCCCACCGCACGGCGGAGTTAAATAGCTTCATGTTGTGTCCAACCCCAACCTCGTATTTTCTTCCATTGTTTTAAGCTCATGGATTATTCAGATGTCCAGTTCATCTTTCGGAAAGCATCTCAGTTTTTTAATACCTCGTTTCAAATCCATACGACGGGAGCGTCCAAGTAGTTGACCGAAATAGACGTCACGCAGTGGCGTGGCGTGCTTTACGATATATCGACTGATCTGTCATTTAAACCTACGGAAACGGATCGATGAACAGGGTGTTCACAACGTACACCTTAGTAATCGATTCTCTATCATGGCTTCAAATAGGGAGATATCGAAAGTCGATCATTTCGCCCAGCCACTGACGAGCTCGAAGGGTAACGGTAATTCAAACCGTACCTTGTAGGGAAAGTCGTGGAAAGTCGGATTCCGCCCACAAAATCGAGCGTATGCAACCCGACCCACCGCGGGGTTCGAATAGTGGTATGTTGGGTCCCAACCCAACTTTGGATGCTGCACGCATTATTCAAATGCTGAATGTATTTTTCGAAAGGTATCTTAGTTTCTTCATATCGCGTGACTTTGTTTGTACTGTTTTCCTCTATTAACTGTGTAGTTTACAGGGAGTTATACGGGATATTCTTGGGTAATTCCTGTTTCAAAGAAGTAATGGAAAATGCTCTAATGAATTTTAAACAGATATTAGTGTGACTTCAATTGATTTTTTGATGGTGAGAATGACTGCTTTAACACTCATTCCACATCACCTGGATATGACGAGAGCCTATGGAATCAGTCCCTCATTGGAAAATGTAGTCTAACTGTTAAATCCTCTTCTTATAATTATGCTTTTGGACTTTAAATTTTTTTACTGAATATATTTTCTTCAAAATGTCTCGATAACCCTCATCTGACTAAAGTGACACAAATCTCCGAGGGTTGGGCCCCGGAGCGACCAAGGGGCAGAACCCCCGGTAAAAATAGAAATTACCGGATGAACTTATTTCGGAGGGTCTTACAAATGTATTCTGTCCCCTCGCTACCAAAAAAAAAACGGCCGACCTTAGGCCATTCCAAAATAATATCTTCAATTTTTAAGTACGTTTACTCTGCAGCCGACAAATTGGCAAGAAACTCGAGTTCACAGCTACCAAATAATAACATCGTTTGAACTCGTTATAAGACCTTAATCGAAACGTAAACAAGTGTGAAAGTTTAATGGCCAAAACGTCGAACGTCGGATAAGTTATTTTTAGAATCGCTTTAAACATAGTCTGCTGTCAGACTACGGTCAGACATTTGATTTTTGTACGACTCATGACGCTGAGCACAGAATGCCGAGGGAATTGCCATGGGATTTTGTCAGAGGCTGAAGGCGAAATGATAAGCAACTTACTTAGCGCATATTATCAATGAGATTATCAACACCTTTCTCGCTTGAACCAAAAAATGCATTCTAAATGCTCAAGATTTTAAAATTTGCGCTTTTAAAAAGATATTTCATGTTGCAGTGGCGCCGCACAGTGGAACTAGCTAATAGAAGAGGTCGGGAATAAAATTTGTGGCTATAATTTGAAATTTTGATGTTTATTTCGTCGAGAATTCAAGTACACGGGGTGTCTCTGAGAGGAAATTTCACGAAAAAACCAATGGAACCACTCTTAAACTTTTTCATCTCATATTTTCGGAAATATAAGCTTTGAAAATTTCCAGATTTTGTCCGACTCCTCCTATAGGTTCGGTCGAATGTGCGCCGGTGCATGTTCGGGGTAAGAAAAGGAGGGGACGCTGCCCCTCCTAAAGTTCTCTCGGATTTGTGTTTTTTTCTTTAAAATGGTAATATTTTACAATACGAATAACCGAAAATCGCTTTCGGAGCGGGTACTTAATGATCATTATCTAATTATTGGGAGGGAGGTATTTATTATCCAGGGAGAGCCTTCAGATCTCCCTTGGTAGAAAGGACACCCTCCCCCCTTTCCAGGTCCTCATATTGTTTCCCCAAATTTGCCTTCACCCCCCCCCCCCGTATTCAAAGTTTCAGCCCACGCGGAGCCACTGTGGATTTGATGGGAGTATGTCACGGTTTTTATAATGAGTCGCATAGAATTTAATTAATATACTCGCCTCTTTTATGCTTGTAGTGATTCATTTTTACGTAAAATAATTATCAACACGCGTGCAGAAAGAGGCTGCCAAACATTGTGCTCAGTTAAAAACGCACGGGATGAATACGTGGAAACTTTCGTAATGTAATCCTACATCGCGACATGCCGGTTGCGAAACGCTCCTCTCCGTCGAAGAACAAACCCGGAGTCCGTATCGAGTCATGTAAACTTTAACTTTGTACAAGTTCGCACAAGTTATGATTGTTTCTGAAAGTTTTATTTCCTCGCGTTCGCATCAACTCTGAAGCAGGTTGCATACTGATGTTTTTCGTCCCCCCCCTCCTCCTCCTCTTCTGGAACTTTTGGGAAATCGAACGATGAACGCATCTCAAAAAGTTAGCCCGCGACACGCTGGATTGAGTGGATGGATGCCATCGGATCGGTAGAAGCTCTATATTTATCTATAAACGATCGAGTAATTTTTCACGAAAAAATCATTTTATTTACTGCAAACTGAACTTAAGTAGTAGCCGCGGACTAATCCGCCGCGATAGCGAGGTGAACAATAGGTGCATGCTAAGATGAACCTCGAGACACATAAAAGCATGTACCAATCATGGCTCATACAGAAATGCACTTACTGCTCTCTTTCAAAGGCGGATCTAGCAATTTGGCAACACCGGATTTCCTCCATTCAAACCTATGCTAAAAAATCGATTATTTTCGGAGTACCTGGCCCCTCCACGGATCGATACATTTTAATAGGTTTAAATGGAGAGAAGACAATGTTGCCAATTTGCAAGGTCCGCCAATTCTCTCTTTGTTATCACGGCAATAAGGAGGATACACAGTGGGGCTTGGACAGAAATTTTAGGGCCATACTGCTCGTTGCTTAGAGGGTCACAGAGAAAATCATTTTCCAAGACAATTTTGATCAAGATGAAACATTTGATATATGATTGTCAATCACCAGGCAACATTCTTTTTCGACCAAAACTGGATGGTCAGTCCAATATTAAACCAAAATGAAGTGCCCTCCACTCATAATTTTTTGCCGTACGGAACATCTCTGCCAAGTTTTCATTTAAAAATAATGTGAAGTAACGATTCCCTGGTAAAAATTAGCAGTAGAATGTGTGTTCCAAAATACTATAGACCTAAAGCCGGCTGTAAGATTTCCAATAGCTTCTACAGCCAGCAACACAATTTCTTATAGCCTTTTATAGCCGATGGCGATTAAGCAACAGCCAGACGATAAAGTTTATGCTAAACGTTACAAAATACGGATACTAGGACTTAGTTAGTTTTTGGACTACCGCTTTCTTTTTGTGCCGTAGTATCTTGATTTATTTTGCGAGGGAAGCTCCGTACTTTTGAAGGATGCCTGTCATTCTTAATATGTTGGAGCGCCTTTAATTTCTTATGATACTGTGCAATACCTCTGGTGTAAAATAGTTGCTTCAAGCGCCGTGGCACACTGCGGAGTGGCAGGCGGGCAGCCAGCGCGAAACGCGCATTGGCGCCTACAAACCTAACAGGAATACTTCACGCGTTGCGCAATGCGTGAAGTATCCCTGTTAGGTTTGAAGGCGCCAGTGCGTCGCCGCTCCACTTTGTGTTGGGCTCTAATATTTAATCTCGCGGAGTCAGCGTTTTTCAAGTCATGATTTTGAAATGGTTGAACACTCTGTATGGACTATTCTCATTTTAATTGATGAAAAAAATTCAGTGAAATTTTTGGACTCCCTCGTTGAACAATTTCTCGTCAAAATAAAATGGCCGCGGAAATTTTGAAACGTCGCATGGCGCTTTGATACTTTGGCCGGAGGCTGACGATTAGTGGCGATCTACCCTCCTCGCGTGGAAACTGTGTCACACTATTCTGCTGTGCTAAGGAAGAACGCCGTATGAACATTCGAGAGCTGCCAAATTTCCCTCGACAAAACATGTATTTTTGATGGCATTTATGCACATTTTTCTTCAAAATTTTCAGATATTTTAGATTAAATTGCGTACGAAATTGTCTGAAAAATTGAAGGAAAAAATATTCATAAGTTTACCGGGGAATTCATGTTTTATTAAAGACAATTTGGCAACGCCTGAAGGTTCATACGGCGTTTTTCCTCAGCACGACAGTATTATCTTCCAATTCAAAATTGATGACACGATCGTGGAATAATGGTCTCTGGGAGGAACTTACATTGATTGAAGTGACGCAGAACGGCACTCCCTGACGGACTGCTCCATGGCGATTTCCTGCTCCAATCGGGTCCTGGACTCGATCTCGAGGATCTCCCGCTCGGCAGCCCGCTGGTGCTGGACCCTTTGTTGCTCGATCCGGGCCGCCGCCTCCGCCAACTCCTTCTTCTCCTTCTTCTCCTCGTCCGTTTGCGACCGGCTACTCCCGGCCCCTGGAGGCGGGTAAGAGAACCAAAATTGGTGCGCCAGCTTTGATGATTCCTCTCCTCCTTCCGTACGATTTTCCGAGTTATGTCTTTCGCTTTCAGTCCTCCCGATTTAAGACATTGTTCAAGTTTGTTCACTCAGTTTTCGGATGGGTTTTCCTCTTCCATTTCCATCTGAAATCAAATTTCAAATTAGGGATTCTCGAGTGCTTGGATAGACAAACTATAGAGTTCATAGAACCGTAAACTGGAAAAAAAACACATTGAATCTGGAGTCCAGACTATTGAAAACATTGACAAGGAAAAGGACTCTTGATTTAATCAGATTTATGCTTAATTTAAAAGGAAATCCGCTCAAATTAAGAGGCTTTGTTCTTGATTTAAGCTTAAATCTGATTGCGAATTAAGAGTATTTTTTCTTGCCGATGTTTTTAAGAATCTAGACTCTAGATCCAATGTGTTTTTTTTCCAGTGTAGTGTTGTGTGCCCCAACATGCCTATATCTATCTATACCAGCCTGGCGCCTGTCTCTCCTTTTCATCCTCTCAACCCCGCGCCAGGCACCTCCCTTGTCCGCGATTCCGCGACCTCGGGAACTCCCGTTAGCCCGGTACCGCCTGGCACGGATGATTCCCTACCTGTTTCTCTCCCGGCTTTCCCTTCATCATGATCATCCCCTTGAACAACAACCAGGAGACAGTAGACCCAGACTCTGATTTTGGCATCGCTAGGGCCACCACGCCGCGCCGGGATCGCGACCTCCTGAGATAGTCACATAGCAGTTAGATTTGTTGTCACCTCACTGTACGCCTATCGACTTATACATAGTTTGTACCCACGATACCTGTAGTTGTCTTTTCGTTCATTCATCATACCCATATTCGGTACCACCACGGTACACCTACGTACACTGGCCCAGCACCAGAACATTACAGTAGAGCCGTAATATCGTCACCATCCGATTAAAGTATCATAAGCGCCATGCGACGTTTCAAAATTTCCGCCGTTATATTATTTTTTTACCGAGAACGTGTCGAATAAATCTGTTTGAAAATTTCACTGAATTTTATCGGCAGCACAATGATAATTCAGTGAAATTTTCGGACAGCTTCGTTGAACAATTTCCCTGTAAAATAATAAAATGGTGACGGAAATTTTGAAACGTCGCATGGAACTTGTGATACTTTGGCCGAAACGGAGGATAACGATATAATGAAGTGAGCTGGGGTCGTGTTCTGGTCGACGAGTTCCGAGCCCGGTGTGCGCCGAGAATCTGACACCTTTTCGATTCATTTCCGCTCCAAAATGGAGATATCTATATAATAAGTAGTAATTCATTACCTCTTTATTTACATCGGATGACCGGATGCCAGATTATAGAAAACAATCGATAGGGTATCGAAATGGTGACCCGACACCGCACAGGAGTCAAGGTGTTCGGTAACTGGTAAATTCTCAAAAGTAGCGCCAGCCTCCCCAATCCTACTACGACTTTCTGTGCCTTAACGCGCATGTTACACGAACATGGGCTTACCTCGTATTTATGAATTAACAGCTAGGGATTGTTCAAGCATTACGTAAACAATCGGAGGAGGTGTCTGAACATGGCTTACACGATCTGCGGTCTTACGAGGGTGAGAGTGGATTAGACCCAGGTTTCCCGAAGCCTCCCATTGATAAAAAAAAAAAAAAAAAAAAAAAAAAAAAATACTTATGGATAAAAATAATTGCTGACAACATAATTTTTTTCAGCAATTTTTCGGGTTTTTCGCATTAATTTTAGCAAATATTGGGTTGGGGGTCAAGCAAGGCTTACGTAATTCAAAAGGGGGAAGGGAGGGGGTCAAACAGTTTCCCAAATTGTTTACGTATTACTCAAACGGCATCCCACGGTTACAAGTGGATGGCTTAAGTGCGAAGCCACCTCTATTCAATGTCTTTGGAAGCCACATACCTCTGTTTGCGACGTTGCAGACTTCCTATCATACTTAATTTTTTCTGTGGAAAACTGGTCCAAATAATTTCATGAAAACTGCCTTGAATTTCCTTCTGTCAGAGGAAAATTCTGTATGAATGTCAAGCTGTAAAGTCAGCTTGATCCTCTTCGAGAAAATAATGTAGGAGGGAAAATTTTGAAACGCCGCAATGGAGAAACGAGGTTTCACACTTTGGTCATCGACTTTGTAAGTTCCCATTAATGTATTAAAGCATTTTAAACTAGTATTTTAAGGCGGTTTTTGGGACGAGTTGTAACTAAAATGCTAAAATAGACGTTTTCACGCTGGATGGGGCTGGAGACGGGTGGGAAAGATGAGGTGTGGTCGTAGAATATGCGTAAAAAAGGACTGAGCGCCAAAATATGTTAACTCATGAGCCATGGGCGTGTAACAAGTGCGTTATGAACAGGGCTTATGATTTGAAAACCCCGATCCCAATCTCCTCGTCCCCGTCTTCAACGCTGACGTCACTGGTGCTCCATAATTCCCATTCATTCTTACAGCCATCAACTAACGGGCACACTCCTTCTGTCCCACCCGTCTCTGCTTCTATTTTACAAATAGTATAAACACGTCTAAACAGTAGAAGCGTGGCGTGAATTGCGATGTATCGATTGTCATGCCATTTAAATCTAGGGTGAAGAATCGATTATTAAGGTGTTCGCTGCGAACACCCTGTTTATCGATCCTTTTCCATAGGTTTAAATGGCATAACAATCGATAAATCGCAAAGCACGCCACGCCACTGCAAACAGGCCGTATTAATAGCAGCCTTCGTAAGAGAGAGCATTTCTAAAACAAAAGCGACGTGGTGTAAACAAAATTAAACCTCCTTCACTGCAGGAACGTTTTAACTTCCATTTGTGCAGTGCTTACATTTCCCAAACCTGGATCCGAAATTTTGAGATTTCCCTGAATTTTTCCCGGAACTTTTAAAATTCCCAAAATGTTCCAGATCTTTTGCATTTTCCGGAACTTTCTCGGAACTTTCGAAAAATCTAAAAGGAATCCCGAAACTTATGACGGTCATGGAGTGGGAGAAATTGCAACAAAAAAGCTCCGAATCCTGGAACTTTTGACGGAATGATACACCAAGAAAAAATATTGATAGAATTTACCATTCTTTCACGCTGTATTCTTCACAGCGTGAATTCAAAGTCGAATTAGTTAGTATATTTTAAGACATTCAGTGTCACAGGCTACTAAAGTCTTTACAGAGAATTTTGAAAATGGGAGTATATACGAAAATTTCGATTTTTAAATTAAGAGAGGTGAATGAAGAGTTTCAGAATTTTGGTAGTAACATTTCTGCAAGAGGAATGGATACCTATACGTGTATATAGTAACGTTTACTTTTCTTCTGGCTGAATTGACTCTGAATTGATGCTGTGTGAAACACAGCGTGAGAGAATGGTAATTCTACCTTCCTTTTTTCTCGGTGTAGCACTGAATTTTTGTAAGAGGTGAATAATCGCACGGCCAATAAACGAGTCCATATTCGAAACCTCACCTCTCTCGTTCTCGGTTGGCTATCAGTGCAATTTTTTACGGAACGGGCGAGATCACAGTTTGGGGTAGACCGTAGAGCTGCAGCAGCGACCGCTTTGAATCGCAATTCCTGCCACCGAGTCCCACGAGGCGAGTGAAAAGTGACGGCTCGCGCCATCGTGTCGGGAGCCGGTGCCAAAAACTAGGGAATATTATAAATAGTTGCTCTTATTTCCATTATTTTCCTCTTTCCTCTCGCTCATTTTTTCCATCTCCTTTGCAATGCAGCGCCCGATTCTGGCAAGGCACCATCGGTCTCAGGAATTGCATACTCTCCTTTTTTTTATTTCCTCCTTTGCCGGAGGCGAGTGTTACCAAAAAATACGAAAAAAAACAAACTCAGTAGTTTTCGTGTGAAACATGAACAGAACGATGTTCAAACATGTTCTTATAGATTTGATAATATCTTTACGACTTCCATTTTCTTTGCATTTTTACTTTATCTCAATTGTTTCTCTAATTTTTGACGTAGAATTAATACTCATCCTCCCATTTGTATTTTGCTTTACTAATCAAGTGTGAGAAAGTGTTTTATTACGATGTTTTGGTGTTACCCCCTAAAATTGATCGATTTGCCCGAGGCAAATCCGTGCTGTACAGAAAGAAAAAATGAAGAAGTACCCCAAGCGCCCAAGCCCTCAGTCGATTTTGGGGTTTCGATCTCGGTTGACAAAAGCTCTCGGCGCTAAATTTACCGCAATATGCACCAAAATCAACATAAAATTTGGTTTGTCTTGCGTTTCACCTCCTATTTTAACAGGAACTAACACAAGAACACTTATCGACGGTGTAGGTCCGCAACCACGTGTTGCGTTTGCGGTGTGTGAACAGTGGCGTGGCGTGAATTGCGATGTATCGATTGTCATGCCATTTAAATCTATGGTGAAGAATCGATTATTAAGGTGTTCGCTGCGAACACCCTGTTTATCGATCCTTTTCCATAGGTTTAAATGACATAACAATCGATGTATCGCAATTCACGCCACGCCACTGTGTGTGAAAATCTCCACTCGTATTTACTTTTTTTCGAATGGAGAAAAAATTGCAGAAAATGCAGAATTACATAAAACTGCAGAATTCACTAGCCATAGTAGAGAAAAATCTCGGCAGTTTTTAAAAATTGCCATTGAGTAGTTTTCTATTGAAATAATGTGACAGAGGTCTGCAACGTCGTAAACGGAGATACTTAGTTGCGGATTCACACCGTCGTAATATTTCTCTCAGTGCATGTTTTAAGTGAATTGGATGATGTTACCTCGTGCCAAAGGTTTTTATATGTATGCATTTACATTTGGGTTGGAAGATGGTGTTTAAAATATATTTTTATAAGGTCACTTAGCGAACTAACATTTTTCTTTGAATTAAATCGTCATATCGCAGGGTATCCGAAATACTCAGTACAGCTAAAAAGGAATGACTTAATTTTTTTTCCCGCTTTTTTCCCCTGTTACATTCTCCACCTGCTCATACTGCCTGGAGAAATGAACTGCTTATAAACTAACAATTGATGCAAATCTCTGCCTTGTACATTTTAAAGTTACAATCCTCGCCTTCCAATTTCAGCAATGCCTATTTCTCCTTTCCTTTCCTATTCGCCACACAGTTTGAGGAAGCTTTATCGAATAATGCAGTTGCTCTACGCTGCTCCTGTTTCTCTCTCGTGTCTCTCTCATAGTCTCACCCCACCTCTCCCCGCCTATCCTGCCACCCCTTTTTTACCCAGTTTTGACTTCATTCCAAAACCCCATACTCTGCAGTCTAAATCACTTGTTCTCTCCGTCCTCACAAATTCACATTAAATAACGCCGGATTTTCTACCATGCTCTGCTGGAACCCTACAATGTTTCAGTTCTTTCACTCGTGGATCTCCTTTCACACTGATGAATTTTTCACAGCACTTTACGCAGAAAATGTTTAGTGTTGAACTTTGTTGAAATAACGCCAGATTTTCTGCCATGCTCTGTTAGAACCCTACAATGTTTCAAATCTTTCACTCGTGGATCTCTTTTTACACTGATGAATGTTTCCCGGTACTTGATGGAGAAATTGTTTAGTGTTGAACTTTGATGAGTTACTCAAGTAACTCTTGAAATGCTCATGTTCAATTTCATCGTGCTTAACTTCATTTCGTCTTAGGTACAACGTTACTTTTGTGGTTACAGTTATTCCGGTTACGGTGACACCACTGCATTGTTATCGGTGCCTGATTGTACTTAGTAAAACTAAAATGTCATATTAGATTAGACATTTCGATTAGCCCGAAAATTTTTTGACAATGCAAAATGGGAAAAAATCTTTTCAATGATAGACGCACGATGGCTATGGGCGTCATACTTGATGTAGGTAATGATTTAATCAATACTGAACAAGTGTTTGTGCTCAAAGAATCTCAAGACCGTGTTGGAGTAGCACCAGAGTGAATTTACGATTTCTTCACTCGTAGCTGACAAAAATTTTGCCGTGCTGAGGAAAAGCGCAGTATCAGCCTTCAGGTGTCGCCAAATTTCCTTTGATTAATTACACATTTACTGGTGAAAGTTGTGAATATTCTGCCTTCAATTTTGCAAACAATATTGTTCGCACTTTAATCTAAAATATCTGAAAATTTCAAGGGAGAATATGCATAGCTTTCTTCCTCAATAAACATTTTATCGGAGGTTATTTTTGCAACTCTAGAATGTTATACGGCGTTTTTCCTTAGCTTGGTAGAATATGCCACCCCTAGATTTAAAAAAATGTTATTTTTTTCTCTTTCTCTTCGATTTTTGGATCAAAATAACGAAATTGATTGAAGAGAAAATTAAAACGAAGCAAGAACTGTTGGAATTTGCTGCCTCGTTTTCAGAATTTGCCGCTCGAAAGCACTCCGCGGAAACCGGCCCTAGGCCGTACTCTTAAAATTCGTCGCCTACCTGACATGAGGGCGTAACTAAAATCTCCAATGATCCCTGTCCTCCATACGATTCAATGCTTTTCCAGGCTCACCTCTATTTGTAGTTACGCCCTTATATCAGCCAAGCGACGAATTAATAAATTGATGTAATGCAGGTTTACCTTTCTGGAAGTCCGTTTCATCCGGGCAGAAATGAGTATCTCATTAAATCATACGTAACCGTGGCGAGGTGCGAGTGATCGACAATCGATACATCCCTATTTGAACCTATAGTAAAGAATCGATCATTAAGGTGTTCGTCGCGAACACCCTGTGTATCGATCATTTTTTATGGGTTAAAATGGCAGACCACTCAATATATCGTAAAGCGCGCAACGTTACTGATATACGTAACATGAGATCATGAATGAAAGATCCAGAGATATACATTTAAATACGAAAAGCTTAATAGCGTGTGTCAATGCCCAATGCGCAGCCTTCACTACAGGTAGAAGCAACAGATGTGCCTGACCTAGGGTAGGCTGAACAGACCACGAATAAAGCTGTACTGGTCTCATTAAAGCATAGAATTATTAGATTAACCAAAAGAACAATAGTAGTGGTACAACAACTATATTTATCGTATGATACCCTACATATTATGTTGGTTTCCTCGCAATAATATATTGGATTAGCATTTTTCGGTTTGATATGCAAATAGTCTTTGCAAAAACTCAACATAACTCGTTAAAAGCTCGTGAGTGAGTTATCTTTTTTAAAATATGCTGATAACGTTTTTTAGCATGATATTTGCAAATTAAGAGAGTTTTCATGCACAATATTCGCTGAGAGAGTACATGGTTTCGGACAAATCTCATCCTCATTTTTTCCCCAATAACTCTGGTAGTGTTCCAAAATGCAAGAATTTATCGGACTTAAAACATGAAGCCGTAAACCCTGAGATAATTCCTTGATCAATCAAAAACAGGAACGAATTCTTTTCTCCGAAGGTTTAATTTGATTTTGCCGCCATCAATGGAAGTAAAAATCATATAATTAATTTTAGATAGATATATCGGTTATGTGTAAAGAACGGTTAAACTATTTCTTTGGGTAGCTCATAAATATTGACATTGAAGGATTTGTGACTCACCTTACTATTCTTCAAAAATCAGCAAAATTTCAACGGTCGGATCCAAATTTCCGGGTCATCCCTGGCGTGATCCCATCAAAAATTTCACGCACATAACATCGTTTCCGAGCAACAAATACCTATTGTACCGTGACTGATGTATGGTAAACAATAGCACACTTTTAGATAGCAAGATGATTCGACGCACCTGATGTGTTTCTTTGTTGAGATTTTATCCGTCGATACAACTTATGGAAGAACTTGGAGTTGTAAAAGTAGAACAATACACGATATGCTAATAATTGGGCCCAGCTACCGAAGTCACGATCGCAGTAGCGCGAGGAAAACACCGTCGAACGATATGCATAAGAACCGGAAATGAAAAGTCACAAAACTTGCGTACGAACTAATCACAATAACAAGCTTTGGCAGCCTCAAAACTCCAAGCTTGATCTCGGAATTGAGCTAAATACGAGGGATTTTGGCACTATTGATCACAGCTAAGGAGTTTCCAATGGACCGGAAACACTATGCGAGGGGTCGGAGAGAGAAATGCTGCGCGGGGGGGCCCATTGTTGCGCACACGACAGGGATGAAGTGGCACGTGTCGGAGGACATGACGTCACGTTCGCGATGGATCACAGGTAGCCGGCGCGTGGCGTGAGGGATGGATTCAAGGTGGACCGCGAGAGACGCGTGTTCGGTGCGAGTGCGAGGTGGTCCAAGTTCCGAACGCGAGGCTTGGAACGCGTCTGCGAGACGCTTTTTCAGCGACGGGAAAGCTTCGGCAGGGCAGGTGGGGTTCACGGGGGGACGTTGCGAGTGAGCCGGCGAATGATCGCACGGCGGGGGGACGAGGGGGGTGCGGAGGGGGGGGGGGGGGGCTACGACGCACGCGGTTCCCGGGGAGGTGAACTCGACGCCGCGCCGTTCCGGGGGAACTCCCGGGATTTGTCAAATTTACCCCCGAAATCCGTCGCATACTTGGCAACTGCGCCGTGATAAACTGACGACAGTGAAATTTTGGAATTCGGGCGGATATCGCACGAGCACGCGCTTTTTGATTGATGCGCACAGTGGACTGAGTCAATTTGAGAGGTGGGGCGTGGAATTTTTGACTAAAACTGCAAATTTTGATATTTGATTCGTCAAAATTTAAATTTTAAGGGGTGCTTCTCATTGAAAATTTTACGAGGAAAGCAACGGAACTACTTTAAAATCTCAAAGTTTTACATATACGGAGTTATAAGCTTTCAAAGTTTCTAGATTTTGTCCGACTTCTCCTATTGACTCGATCCACAGTTCAGCGTGTCGTCAATGCAACTGGAACAGCTTTCCCGCAATTTTTTTTTTTTGGGGGGGGGNGGAGGGGTGGAGTTTGTAGGTTTAGGCATGAAATGTTTTCTTGGGTGGAAATTATGTAGCGCTCAAAGAGAAGGGGTTTTTACTTTAAAAAAGAACAAAACCATTGTTTAATTTTTTTTTTTTTTTTCAAAAAAATCCTCTAAAAGTCAATGCTGCCTGGGAATATGTCATCACAAACGCAAAATTCGTACCTTGCTCTGACTTAATTGATGGGCACAAAACAAAACCATTCTCAAACCTTTTGGGTAAAATCATCATTCATTAAATGTTCCGAGATCTTAGAAATGGAACAACATTTTACAATTATTTGTCTTGAAATAAGAGATAAACCTTGACTTGCCATAAAAGTGGGCAGAAGAGTGGGTGTGAATTCATATCATTATGGCTTGAATGAAAAGTTTTATCATATATGAGGGCGGAGTCTTGTCACGTGAAGTTAGGTGGTTTGGTCAAAATTATTTGTGAAATCATCATTTTGTTGGAAGTAACGAAGCTGTGAATGGGCGTGGAAAACCTGCAGCCCAGATGATACCGATAACTCATAATTGGGCTCCGAAATCGACATCGAATCAGATAATTTACTTCCGCAAAAGGTCTTTTCTTTAACTTGTTCCTCGTCCTCATTTTATTCTCCTCAGTCAAGCAGTAAGTACCTCTGTGCACATTAACATGGACAAATCAGTCGTTGATGAGCTAGTTTTGAACTCTTCTTAAAATCCGAAATATTTTTATCTAGTTTCTTTTATTGATCTCTTATACCCATCAATAATGATTTTGTTGCCTATTTCACAGCGATAGAAAGAAATAATATTCTCATAACTTTTACAACTGAAGTTACATTCCAAAACATCTGCACGAACTTGTTCAAACTGCAACGAGCAACTATTACTGCTCCTGGGCCGCTCACATTGCCTGATCGAGTTTTGAAGGCGAATCAGTCCGTACGTGGTGCACTGTGTGCGAGTGACACGGGAATCGAATGAACCGTCCAAAGTTTATGGAGCGATATTAGTGGGTTTTTTTTCAAATAGGTAACTATTCACCTTTCTTGCTCATGCGGCAAAATATATGGTATTCTCAAGTGGATGATATCTGCTAATAGGATTAAGCATGGTCTGCTGCTCCTAGAAAAGTTTTTGGAAAGATATGTTGCCTGTGCGCTGAAGTTTGAGGCGATATTCAAGTAAACGATGTCTACAAACAGAATCACACACTTTTTATTGGTTTATTTTTAACATGCAGCGGTATAACTATGTCTTCTAAAAGCTTGCTGATATCGCTCTCCAGTGTATGTATTCAATTCTCTTCAATTTTCCCTTCATTGTTTCTTTCTTTTCCCAGTCCTCTCATTTTAGCGCCCTGCTAATGATAGTGCCTGTTACAGTTGCTTTTAATGCGCCACCCTTAATCCGGCTTTCCTTGATGAGAGAAAGTCTTCCCCAACACCTCATGGCACAAGTATTAGCGACCAATTACATATCTACGGTGTAAGTCGGCAATAAGCACAAAACTCGGTTTGCGACGTCGCAGACTTCCTGTCATGCCTTATTTTTAAAACGGAAAACTACTCAGCGGTAATTCTTTAAAACTCCCGTGATTTTTCTTCTCTGTTCAAAGAAAATTCTGCAAAAACTTCAAGGAATGATGTCAATTTGTTCTCCTTTAAAAAAATAACATAGAGGCGGAGATTTTCAGACACCGCAAACGAGATACGTGATCGCGAACTTACGCCGTCGATATACGTGGACAGGTGAAAAATCTCTATAGCTTCGTCCATTGGTTTTTTGACGTTTCGAAAATCGATTCATCGATCAAGATCGATCAAGTGAAGACGTCATCACAGATATGCTTATGGTTATCGCTTGGGAGGCACCTGACATCCCCTGCACTTGTCTTTGGTTTTTATAAGTAGGAATATAAAACTCCCTCCTGCCGCGGCTAAGTATCCTTCAAGCAAAGAAGATTCTTGCCAGATCAACATAAGAAACGATCTCATTTCTTGCTTTGCGCCGTGAAATAATTAAGCTTGCCTCTGAAAGTAAAAGCACAGTTGTCAAGCTCGCAAGTAAAGTGCAAATATCACTCCTATCTCTAATCAAAATTACAGCATTCCGGCAAACGTGCGCTCTGATTTCAAGGCGTTTGAAGATGAACCCTGTTGTATGAGAATCTCCGATTTTAAATATGAGGAATGTTTTCCATTAAGATAATTAAAAATGTTTAAAACAATTATTAGTTACAGATAATTATTCAGTTTAATAAAAACACTATCTTTTCAGTATAGAGATAAATAAAAATTTAATAATTTTGAATATTAGAAACTTTAATAATTTTAACTTCCGCCGCCGCGCCGCGCTGACCGCACTGTGTTTGGCGCAATGCGTGCAGTATTCCTACAGTCTTGTATTCGCCATGCATTTCACGCCGACAGCTGCTGCACGCACTAAGTTTGACGCAATGCGTGAAGTATTCATGCAGTCTTGTAAGCGCTAATATGTGTCACATGCCGACCGCCGCGCCGCGCCGAGGGTTTCTCCCGTTCATCTCAAGTTCTCGTCATCATTACTCCCTGCGGCGCGCCGTTCCAGGCCAAATTCCGTGTTCGGATTCCCTCTGAGTCTTAACTCAACTTATAAAATGTGCTGTCTATTGTATCACAGGAAGACGATAAAATTAGAGATATACTCTCGGAAAATGAGAGATTTTGTCACTTTTTCTCGTTTGTAATTGTTTCTCTGAATCCGATTTTTCTTCATGGCTACATTTAAAAAATTCGCAAAATTTGCCGTCCCCTAAATTTGCCGCCATGGGCCGCGGCCCATGTGGCCACCCCCTTAATCCGGCCCTGACTGTTTTACCGGTAGAATGAGTATTTGGCGCACGATTTGACGAGAGCGGCTGTAAGGTAGGCGTCTTGCGAGAAGGGGCATATGAAGGGTCATTAAGGTCAGAGTGAATGGCAGGAGGCAAGCGCAAATGAGGAGCCGAGGAGCGGGATGAGGTTAGGTGGGAGGGGGTGGATGCTAAGGGGGTGGATGCTGAGGGGGTACGCAAAAAGACATGGACCGGGATCGGGGGGCAGCGGCAGCTCTTGGCCCCGGAGTCTTAAGTTGGATTCCTGGCAGTGACAGAGGAGATTGATTAATTGCTGACACTCGATCGTCGTCTCCGCCCCACCTCCCCCTCCCCCTCCCCATCTCGGTTGGGGTGAGCTCGTAGGGGCGCGGAGGCGGAGGCAAGGATCGAATATGGCTCTGGAAAAAGTCTCTCCCGGAAAACTCCGCCACCATAAACGATTTTACAAGCGTTTTTTTCACTCCGTTGAGCAGACTAGACCACTGCTCGGTTTCTTAAGGTCCTATTCATGGTCGTCTCTCGCACACCCGTATCTCGCCGTGCTAAGAAAGAACGCCGTATGAGCCTTCAGCAGTTGCCAAGTTTCCTTTGATAAAAGCCGAATTAATTAGGAAAATTGTGAAAAATCGTTTCCAAAACTTTCAGACAACTTTGCACGCAATTTAATCTAAAATATCTGAAAATTTCAAGGAAAGATATGCATGGATGTCTTCAATAATCCATGTTTTATCAAGATAAATTTGGCAACTCTTGAACGTTCATACGGCGTTTTTCGCTAGCGCGGCAGTATCATATGATCTATTTTGGGGATAAGGAAAATTTAAGGAGGTCTTCAACATAGCTTTCATGTAGAGAACAATTTTACCGAGGACTCAGTAAAATTAAAAATTTTAACTTTAGAAATGGGTCCTATTAGGGGACTGAAATGATTGGCCCCCACAAAAATTACAAAGTTAAGAAAAAGAATATCAGGGATTTTGTAAATATTAAGGCAGGTCCGTGCCTGCCTTAAAATTTGAAAAAATCATGGAATTTTACCTCCTACTCTTTTTCTTTTATTAGTGCTAAATCATTTTAATCCTTTGCAAATGTGCACATCCAAATACGTCATATTCGCGTCATCTCATGACGACTGGTGCCACTTTGACAAAGAGACCCCTTCAAAATCAGATAGAATTTGACATTTTTAGTGTACAACCAAGTCAAAATCAAAATTTCAAATGTTTCAACCTCCCGTTGGGCTTTCATTATAGACACAGAAAGTTTCCAAAAGTTGGTCTCTTTCGATGGATATCACCACTTTGATTTTTCGAAACTTTGGTGGGTGATAGAAAAAAAACTGCTGTTATTGACGACTTCAGCAACAAAAATTCAATGGCAGTAACTCCATAAGGCACCTAGGTAAAACAGTTTGTTTAGCCGTTTTCAAATGCTAAACGAACGGATCAGTTTTACATGAAGGTATAAGTAGCGGATTATTATGTCATTTGACCGAAAATTCCTCGTTATCAGACTCAACGGATCTCTTGCATAGAGTGTTTCATGTCTGAAAAATAATAAAAGATTGATAATCAAAGCATTTATGTAGGTCTCAAGTTCATAATTTCATCGCTATAATCTGAATGAGAAAATCCTAATTGGATGTAAAAATGAGGGGCAAATATTGTTGGCAGAAAACCCGCAGGGACAAATGCACAAGGACAGTTTACTTTTGATGTACAAATAAAACGCCCACGAAGTGGTGAAATCATACTTTATCACTTTCACATGTTAAACGTTGAGACATGTTCAAGGCAGATACATATATATAAATGATATGTAAGTTTTGAGAAACTAGAGAGCGTTGATGCCAAATCCTCGAGAAAATCACCTTGCGAACAAACATCGCATCGCTTCATTTCTAGGCGAGAATGACAATGTTACCTAACCTAACCTAACCTTATAATGGTAAAAACCATGCTAATACCTTAATGTTGAAGGTAGTACAGACCAAAATCTACACTTCCATTAAGCTTTCTATCCTTATTGTTAGTTCCATAACAGTTTATTGCTATGACTAGTCTAGTTAGACTGGTAAAGAGCCATAAAAGTTGTAGGTAAAATATTCTTCTTCCTCCTGATACCGAAAATGATAAGATATGTGACTTCTGAAGCTCTGACACTTCTTCTTCTTTTTTTTTATTCACCTCTTCTTAGTGGCATTAGCTGTCGAAGAATAGTTTAAAAAAAGAGGTCGTAAATCTCAAAGAGAAAATTTTTAAGAAATCTGATAACATGTTTGCTTTAGGAAACCTCTGTCGTTCTTTTTCACGTAAAAAGGTCACGTTGCCCTTTCACAAATGTTTTACTTTATTTTAGTAAATAAACCCTAGTGAAAGGATGGTAATGGGAGGTTTTACATAAAATGAAGGAGTGCCAGCTCCCTGAGGAGTTATGAAGGGACACGTCTCTGTGGCGGTTTGGTGCCATAGAGCGCCAGAGAGCGCAGTGAAAGTGGCTCTTACGTATGTGTTTTAGTAAAGTTAAAAAAAAAATAATTTCATAAAGTTTTGGTTTTTATTTTGCATTTTTTTAGTTTATTTTATGTCTAGCTCCAAAATGAGTATTTTCACATTTGACAAAATTTCGATGCCAATTTTTTCGTAGATTTTTTTGACGTAAATTTAACATTATTTTACTTAAAGGAAACCAAAAGTGTTTCCTAACTCGTCAATTCAAACACTTTTCAACGTTCGTCAAAAGTACAAATTCAACAGTCGATGCTTCCACGGTATTTATCCGTTTGTTTTCGTCCTGCTAGGCAACGCAGACATACACGACTCACTTTTTGGCAAGAGGTAGTTGCCGCAATTCCGCTATCATTTGATCTTGCGTTCGGTGTTCACGCGGCGAGCCGCGCCTCCGTTCCTACCGCAGGTCGATTCCGGACTCGTAATCGATAGACATCGATCGATAAATCCCTATCCTAGCACGGTTATTAGTCGACTAAGGTCGTTCGATAACGACCCCAGAAATTCGTCGTCCTTATGACGTAAAGGCGTATCTCGTTTCCACGTGAGCCCTGTCTTAGATATAAATCGATGCTTTCTAGAGTCCATGTGGGGTTCGAGATACGCCCTTACGTCAAAGGGGCGATGAATTCAGACGCTGCTGCCTCGCTCCTTAGTCTGCAGTCGAATGATTAATTGAATTTTAACATTTCGGTTGAGCGTCAATTCCAAGTCTAACGTCGGCCGCTTGCTTGGTCTTTTGTTTTGTTTGAGCCTTTGCCTTTGCCTTTGAGGCGCCAATGAACTCGCAAAGGATACAAAACGCGTAACGACTCGAGCTAATTTTCTAGCCCGCGCTAATTTCCTTCCCCCAATATACCGGGCGACGCAGCCTCCAAAGTCGGTGAGATTTCACTGCTAGGAATTAAGCTTTACCTTTCATCTACGGATACCACTCAGTAGATTGAGTGCTAACCGCAATAATTATACCCGTTCCGCCACAGTAAGGAAGAGCGCCGTATGTACGTTCGAGAGTTGCCAAATTTTCTACGATAAAATTTTAATTTTTAAGGAGAGGTTTGAATATTTTCTCCTGAAATGTCCAAATAAATCGAATTAAACTGCGAATAAAATTCTCAGAAAAATTGGAGGAAAATTTGTTTCTTGACGTAGGGAATTTGACAACTTCTGATGGTTCATATGGCGTTCTTCCTAAGCAAAGTAGCTTCGTAAGTACATCGAGTCGACTAAAGTCCATACTGTTCCACTGGTTTTGGCTCATTTCACAAAATAACATACGTGCCCGACAGGTCCTTTTACAATTGAATCAATTATGACCGAGGCTCCCTATTGCAAATGGACCATTAGGCAAGGTGCAAAGAGCCTTGTTAAAAATGGGTCGAAATTCGCCCCTTTTTAGGCCCTCGATTTTGCAAACGGGACTTGCGCCAAATTGTTGCATATGATGCCCCAAGTCTCAGGTAAAAATTTCAGCTTGAGTTAAAAAGCGGTTTCGGAGATACAGGGGGGTGAAGTGGGGGAGTTGAGCGGCTGACGTGCGCTCTTTCCGCGGCTGTTCCTCGCCAAATCTTCGTTTTGATGTCACCCATTACATGCTTTCTTATGCAATTTTTTGCGTACTTTCCATTTCTGACCTTAAAAATTACTTAAAACCACTTTTCAAGGCTTTAGGGGGTGAAAATAGGGGTTGAACGGCTGGCGGCGCGCTCTTCCGCGGCTGTTCTTCGCCTAATCATCGTTTAGTTGTCACCCATTACATGTTTTTCTATGTAATTTTCCGCGTACTTTTCATTTCTGACCTTGAAAATTACTTACAACCACTTTTGAAGGCGCTACGGGGTGAAGATGAGGGTTGAACGGCTGGCGGCGCGCTCTTTCCGCGGCTGTTCCTCGCCAAATCCTCG